ATGCTAAGTGAAATAAGTCACACAGAGAAAGACAGATACCATGTTTTCATTCCTATGTGGATCCTGAGAAACTTAACAGAAGACCATGGGGGAGGGGAAGAAAAAAAAGAAAGGTTAGAGAGGGAGGGAGCCAAAACATAAAAGACTCTTAAAAGCTGAGAACAAACAGAGTTGATGGGGGGTGAGAGGGAGGGGAGGGTGGGTGATGGGTATTGAGGAGGGCACCTGTTGGGATGAGCACTGGGTGTTGTATGAAAACCAATTTGACAATAAATGTCATATTTAAAAAAATAATAAAAAATAAAAAAAGAAAGATGTGGAATACACATATAGCTATGATTTTTGACGAAATATTTTAGGTACAATCTTTGAGAACAATTTTCTTGAGAAAGAGCATTTGCAATCCATATCTGTGAAATGACAGCACTTATGATTTCCAGGGAAAGCTTATCAATTTAATTGAGAAAGAGGTCATCTGATCTCTGAAGCAGGTCTTCTAGAATTGCTGATTAATAACCTAGAAATGTGTCCTAAAGATTAGCATCATGGTTTTGTCAACAAAGCGAGAATAGATTAGGACAGATGCATTTGATCATAGAGCAGTGTGCCTTTTTTGAAAAGGGCACCCGGATGAATGTGAATCACAGTGAGAGAGGATGGAGCACCTGCCTCACCAGCCAAACCTAATGAATTAAACACTAAGGAGGCAGGTGATGAAGCCAGACTGCCCACACATTCTCAAATATCTTAAACACCATTCTGTACTCACTACTGTAATAGCTGCCAAATAGAAGAGTTCCCCCAACCCTAATAATTGAGAATTTATCCTTAAACAAGACCATTACTAATACATATACAACTCAAAGGGTGGCTTTTTATCAACATGCAGAATATGCAATTAATTTTTTTCCTGTCTTTTGTCAAATTAAGATCACTATTTCTTAAATCATATTTTGAGATGTATCAACCAGTGTTAATAGATAATATATATAAACAATTTCTCTGGGTAAACCCTTTGGGGATACACTGGATTAAATAGAATGAAATGAGGTTCTCTGGTTCAGGGCTTCTAAGAAATCAACGTGCTTTGTGAATTTCCATGAACGGGGTATAGCGTGTAGTGTTTTTCCAGATTTTGTCTTAGGTCCCTTCTTCTTGGACCATTTTGTGCGACTGCTGCTTTGCTTGCCTTTTTTGTCACTGAATCTCTGGTGCCTGACATGGGGCCTGACACCAGGAGACACTAAAAAAATATTTGTGGAATAAATAATGAATTTGCTGCTTGCCTGATGAGCTGCTAGGTGCCCATGAGTTCTTACAGAACCATGCAGGAATAGACTATGACTCTTCATACCTCTTGTATCATGTGCTGCTGACTCTTCAAGTTTGTACCAGCTTGAGTTGCTCCCTGTTTCACTTTGACTAGGCAAGCACAGTCTCCATCGTAGCCTCTTCCCCCAACAACCCTCTGGGTTTCTCCCCTTCTTCTTTGGGGAGCATGCAAAAGTTAGCGTATCAGCCAGAAGCTGGGGTGAATGCCCCAGCATGTGGAATGTGAGTCCCTTCTCAACAGAACAAGAGGGAGGCTGCCTGAGTAGTGTGTGGGTCAGAAGACTGCCACTGAGCATTGCAGGGACGAACAGAAAGCTTCCCTTTTACTTGCACTTTATATGACCTGTGGATAAACAAAGCCTTTCTATTTCCAGAAATCCCATTGTTTTAACTGCTTTGAGTTTCTTTTGTAAACTTAAAAATCCATGTCTTTATGCAAGGCATTTAACGCTCTATGGGCCCAGACTGAATATTTTTTGTTCCTTTTCTATATTCCCCTTACATGTTTTTTTTTTCTTCTTATATGCCACAAACTCTTGGCTATCTGAAATTCAGCCTTTTCTTCAACAATGTATGACATTAAAAACAGCTAGAAGGCTGTAGTGTGAGTAGAATGTTCAATATTGTAGAGGACTTGATAAATGTAACCTCCTTAGGAAAAGAATTGAGAGCATATGATTCTTCATTCTCATTCAACTGGCTATGTGCTGGGGCCTCGGAGGGTTTAAAAACATAGTAAAAATAAACAGTCTCTCAGTTTCTGTCCTTAAGGATATTTGGAATAGAAGGAGGAAAGTAATATTTATAAAATGCCTCCTGTGTTCCATGCTATATATCGATATCAATCTCTGTATCTTTTCACAACAATATTATGCAGGAAGTGTCATTTTCCCTGTTTTACAAATGAGGAAACTAAGGATCAGAGAAGTTAGAGAACTTTTGAGGTTCGTTTATTGAAATCAAATTCTCTTAAAGACAGGATGATGTTAAGTTTCAGAAAAATGGGTACCTTTTAGGATTACTCTTATTGAAACTAAATTTTTCCAAAGAGTATGATAATATTTAATATTAGAAAAATATATGTGAAACAGAGAATCCCACAGAGCTTGCGAATATGCTGGTGAATTTAAAAATACTTACTTTCCCCCTTGTCTTCTGGAATGCTCTCCTATTTTTTGACCATTGGCTACTCATTAAACTTCTCAGAGGCTTCATTTCTTCATCATAAAATGGGGATGGTAGCATCCCCTTTGCCTATGTTACAAGTTTTGGGTGAAGGGGTAAATAGTATAATTTAGGTGTAAGTGAAACTCTTCAGTGGCATGAAAATGTGAGGTATTGTTGTCACAAATGTCACAAGGAAGAATGTCGGTGGTGTGTTTGCAGTGCATGTGATATACCTTTAATTTTTTTTTTCAAAAATGTAGATTTGGGGACTGCTTCCAATGAATTGAGGCTCAGTTTGCAAGTAGGGTGAAAGTAACCCATTTCTAAATTATCTGTGATTCAGCCAAAAAAAATTCTTTTTTAAGCTTCGAGCAGAGAGAGTATGTGGGGGGAAATGTTCATAGCCATTTCTGAGACACTATATATGGTATATATAGATGTAGATAGGGTGAAGGATATGAAAGAAACAGAAGGCATGATTTCTGCCCTCGAAGTATTTAACAAATGCAAACAAATTTGTTTTCTCCCATTCTTATGTGTCCTACTAATCCAAGATCATTGCTTTGCTAGAAAGAAATCCAGGTTTTGATATAATAAAGTCCTTCTTTGGACATTATAATTTATTTTCATTTTGTAATCTGGAGAAGTTTGGCAGTGTAAAACCAGTTTTAAAATCAGAAATGAAAACTTACAAATTCATTTCTCAATCTATCAAATATATATATATATATATATATATATATATA